TCATGATAATTAGTAGAAAGAGGAGCCCTGGACTAGCCTTCCTTCAGGAGGAGGAACTGCCTCACCCCAGCCCCCCACCCAACCCGGCCCGGGCCAGCTCTGCCAGGTGGAGGAAGGTTCTCCTCAGCTCGAGCACAGCGGAGGCCCAGGAGGAACAGCAGGAGTGCAGGGTGAAGACTCGGGGCACCACCTTACCCGTGGGAGCCTACCGACACCAGTCCCCTGGTCCCGTGCTATTCTCCAGGTACACCTGTCAGCACCCCTAGAAAAACCACCTGGAAACCACGGGCTTGGGTCCTCAAGGCAGAAATCCAAGGGTCCGAGCTCCCTGACAGGGGTCCTACATTTGCCAACTTCCCAACTGCTTAGCCAACCAACAGGTATTCATTGAGCCTGTTTTCCCTGCCAAATACCAGGTAGCAAGATGGGGGAAGACATAATTAACATGTAAAAATGTGAGTGAAAAATACTCTATGAACTATAATTGAGTGCTAAATCCAACAATATTAACAGTAAGGGCTACAGGGGTGCAGAGAAGGGAAGAGGTCAGTGTGGACTGGAGAAATCCTGGAGAGCTTCCTGGAAGAGGCGGCAGCTCTTGGACTCAATCCTGAAGAATGGATAGGGGAAAGCACAGTAGGAACAAAGGCAGGGAGGAAAGAAGGGCCATGGCAAGTAAACCAGGGAGACTGTTGCCTCATAGGGAACCTTCCTATTAGAGAATGGTAGTGAGGTGGGGCGGGGCGATTGTGGAGGTCACAGGGAGGGCTGAAGCCTTGAGAAACAGCCAGAGGATTTCTGACATGATGGGGGAGACAATGGGGAGCCATTGTAGGTTCTATAGCAGGGCCTGGTCATGATTAAAGCAGAGTTTAATTCTTAAAAGGATTAGTAAAGAGATGCAGAGAATAGGAGATGGGACAGACAGAAGACAGCTTCCTAGCTCCAGCAGGAATTCCCACTTCACCCTCAGGGAAGGAGGAAATGCCCCATTTTCCTTATCCACTTATTTTAAATTTCATTCATTTTGTAATATCCTAAGTCTTCTTACATTGTTTTTTGGAGGGGAAAGCCTGGGGAGGTAGGTAGTCTTGGATGGACAGAAAAGTAAAGAGCAGACCTCACTCAATAACTTTGGACTGACTGACAAGGTGGTCATGGGAAAAGGAAATTAAGCTGAGGGGGATATTCTGAGGGAAGAAGACCCCACAGGTGGGGCATGTGGGCCAGGGAAGGGGCAGGTGCAGACCAGGGTCTGGTGGAAGCCCCACAGCAGGGCACACACGCCCTAGACCCTGCTTCGGCCCCGCCCACCTTCCCAGCCACATTCCTGCTGCTCTCGGGCCCCGTCACCACCTGCACCCTGTGCTCCACAATGAACTTCCATTCCTGAGAAGGCCACGCTGTCTTGTACCTCAGAACCTTTGCACGTGCTGTGCACCTCTTTCTGCAACGCCCTTTCTCCCCCTTCCCTCAATTCCACTTACCCTTTTAAAGCCAAAGCCACCCCTTGCTGATGTGTGGATGACCCCAGGCAGAATTAGTCTAAGCCCCTCGGGGTGATGCTCTTCCTGACAGCCCAAACCCTCATCCTATCCTGGATACCAGGTGTCCTCTAGGCTCCAGAAGCCCCAGCATCTCACACAGTGCTCAGACATGGAGGGTTCTGGTAGTCAGCTCAATAATGGTGCCCTGCAGGAACTTCTGAAGAGCAGGAGTCACATTCTGGGGTTAGGAAATGCTGGCCGGAGCTTCGCTGACACTGCCCGGGAAACAGCTGTGGTCGGCAGGAGGGCAGGAAGGAGGATCTATGAGGACTTAGGGGAAGGAGGCTGGCCAAGGGGAGTGGGCAGAGATCTGGGGATGCCACAGTGAAGGGACGGGAGGATGCTGGGGAGATGGAGGACAGGGGCCAGAATCTCAGGGACAAGGCCAGGAAGGCCTAGGGAGGCAGTTTCAGAAGAAACGGTCAAACGCCAGAGAACTAGGATGTGACTGCGAAAGGAAGGATTTCTTTACCCCTGGTAAGCCACTTAGAAAACACGGCTGATGGCCACAGTCACTCCTCTTTAGTCTGAGGGGGCCCTGGGAGTCTTGAAAGCTACCTGTGTTTCCCCAAGACTCCTGTTCCCTACAGCTGGCCCTCCTCTAGCCCGGCAGAGCCCAAGAGGGGCAAGTGTGGTATTCGGGGCTGGGCCCACACGCAGCAGGAAGCCTCAATTCTAATTCCTTCCAGCCCCACTCCCTGGTTGCTGCGTGAGCTTGCCAACTCATAACTCTGCGGCCTCGGTTCCCTAGTCTGAAATGAGGGCCTCGGTAGTGCTAGCACTTGTATGGGAAGTCATGGAATTCTCCATGGGATTCTCCACAGACATCTTTAGTTATGTCATATGAATAAGGAACAATCTTACTAGCAGAAAAAATATTTTGTTTGCAGGTCTCTACATCTCAAGTCACACATACCTGAAATATTTTAAACTAAGTCAACTTTTAAGGATTTTCTGTTAATGCTTATTGATTACCTTTATTGGTTGAGGGTGGGGAAGCAGATGCCAAAGGTTTAAGATTTTCTAGAGGGCTGGCGTGGTGGTGTAGTGGTTAAGTTCACTGTGCTCCACTTCGGCGGCCAGGGGCTCATGGGTTCGGATCCCGGGTGCAGACCTACATACCGCTTAACAACTCATGCTGTGGCAGGCGTCCCACATATAAAATAGAGGAAGATGGGCATGGATGTTAGCCCAAGGCCAATCTTCCTCAGCAAAAAGAGCACGATTGGCAACAGAGGTTAGCTCAGGGCTAATCTTCCTCACCAAAAAAAAAAAAAAAAAAAAGATTTTCTAGAAAAGCTTTTGGTGATTGTTGAAGCTTGGTGATAGGTACATGGGAGTTCATTTTATTACTCTCTCTACTTCTGTGTAAATCAGAAAAGGTTCATAATAAAAAAGTCTTTTTAAATTTTAGTAGAAAACTTAAAATCGAGAAAATGCCTCTAGTATCTTAATTTTCCCTATGAGTTGAGAAAAGACCCCCTTTTTTATTGCAACTGAGGGCAGGCCTCCATACTGCTTCTTCAAGAGAGCACAGTTTGAGGACCACAGAAATTCTAGATCTTCCAGGTCTAAAAGTCTAAGCTTCTGGCCCCAGGGCTAAGGGAGAGCAGAAATAGCACCACGCATAACAAAGGGCTAAAAAGCAAAGCCCCTCCAGGCCACCGTTCCAGGCGGTGAGGAGTGGGGCGACTGACCAGATGGAGAGAACAGCCCCAGTCCTTGAATTTCCATCGCAAAGACTACACTTCATAAGAGCCTGTCTTCTCCCAGACCTGAGACAGGCTGCCCCCTTTCCCAGGCTCTTCCAGGAGAGTAATTTCTGCCTTCCTGGATCCCAACGGAACTGGAAACAATCAAGTAGCCAAACCCCCACCTTGTTCTGAACTTTCTCTAGAGCCTGCTCTCACACAATGTAACTGGGATGAGGCCTTCCTTTGGAGGCCTGGGGTAAGGACCAGTGAGAGTCATGTGAAAAGCCCCAGGTGGTGGCAATTCACGCATTTCCGCTCCCTGCCCGCTGCCACTAAGTCCACCGCCTTCTCTAGACTAATCAAACCCACAGCGGGGCAGCCCCACAGACGTGCTCCGTGGACTGGCTTCGCTCCTTGGTCTTTCGGTATCCACTGCCTCACCTCCTCACTGCTGAAGCCCTCCATGGGCTGGCTTCCACCCAGCCTCCTCCATCCCCACAGAAGCGTCTCCTAGAAACGTCACCAGCTACTCCAGGTCCTCAGATGCAATGGGCATGCCTCAACGAATGAATTCAGCTTCCACATGGCTGGGCGGCCACTCTCTCTGGAAAACCTCCTGAGACCCCGCTCTTCTTCTTCCCAGGCCCCTTCTCAATCCCTGCTGCCTGCCACTCTTCATGTCTACATGGCCCATAAAGGCTGGGGTTTCTGTGAACACAGTCCCGGGACTTGGTCTCTGCTCACCTCCTCTCTCTCCCGGGTGAGCTCATCAGTTTCCACGGACTTAAATGCCAGGTTCTGCTCTTGATGTCCTCCCACCTTTGCATCTGCAGCCAGGACCTCCCTGCGCCCCAGGCTCTAGGCGCCTCAGCATCTCAACCTGAACTCTTGATTCCCAAACCTGTTCCTCCCCTAGTCTCCCCATCTGAGGAAGTGGCACAACCATCACCCGGGTGTTCAGGCCAGACCCCTGGAGTCATCCTTGAGTCCTTCCGTTCCCCTCCCCTCCCCCCATCCATCAGCGAGCCCTACTGGTCCTATCTCTAAAACACATCCCGAACCTGTCCTATCTCCATTGCTGCCCTTTTAATCCATATCAAATCATTCCTCTGCACAGAAACCTTCAGTGGCTTCCCAGTGTACGCAGAATTAAACCACCTTCTGGCCAGGACCTGCAAGGCCCTGTATGACTGGACCCCTGCTTACCTCCCAGCCTCGTCTGGCCTCACTGTCTTCCTTGCTCATTTCGCCCTGGGCTTACTGGTCTCTCACTTTGCCAAACAAGTCAGGGCCTTGTTTGTGCTGTTTCCTCTGCCTAGAACATTCTCCCCACCCCACTCCTCACAGAGCCACCTCTGCTGTTCCTGTAGGTCTCAGCTTAAATGCCACCTCCTCCAAGAAGCCTCTCCTGGCCACCCCACCTAAAGCAGGCCTCTGTTATCCTCTATTGCAGCCCCTTGTTTACTTGTTTTCTGTCCGTCTCCCCCAACAGAATGTCACTCCGTGAGGGCAGGAATTATATATGCACAGAGCCTAGTACACTGCCTGGAACACAGTACCTGTTCAGTAAACATCTGCTGCAAGAACAAAGGAACCAGTCACTGCCTAGGGATGAGCACTTCTCTGTAAGTGCGAGAGGTTAACCTGAGGGGACTGAGGGTCAGCCAGGGCCTGACAACAGCCCCAGAGGGTGGCTGAAGCTAACTTCTGGTTTCCAGTTCTGCGGGATGGGCTGGGGCCCAGGCAGAAGGCACCTCACCTCCCTTTTCCAGCGTGCCAGCCACTCGTCCCGCTTGCGCTTGCTGATGTAGTAGGGGTCCCCCGCCTGGAAGGTGAGCCGCGGCATGGGCCGCTGGCGGAGGCTGGACTCCCAGCCCAAGCCACCCCGCAGCCGGCCCCGGGAGCCCTAGGGTAGAGAGACGACAGAGAGACAGACCGGCATTAAGATGGGCACTGATAGCCCCGCTGCGGGGTTTGTTCCTCCTGGAGGGGAAACTGAGGAGGCACTCACCTCGAACCGAACACAGGAGCTCTGACTCCTGGGGAGATGTCAACCCTGCGAGTGCTGGGCAAGCCCCTGTCTGGGCTGGAGAAGCGAGGGATTGTGGGGTGGAGGGGCACATGGACATAAACCATAAGGGGTGGTGCTTGGTCTCGGAGGGGGACCAGCTGGCTGCCTTTTTGGGGACTTCCAACCTCCACACCACTTCCTCTCTTCCTCACAGAGGGGCGTGTAAAGAAGGGGGCAGGGGCCACCTCAGGCTCCCTTCACACACACTCGCCATAGTCGGTCAGAGCGGTGGCTTTCTTCTCCTAGAATCAGGATCCATAGAGCCCCTGGGGATTGAGGAAAACACTTGCCTCCATTTTCATGGATTCGATGTTGGTCTCCTTCTGTTCTTTGCCTGTGGAGAGGGAAGAACAAAGGGACTGTCGGCAGAGTTACAGGAGTGGCTCAGAGGCCCCACCTTGTGCCGGGGGTCCCTGCCACAGGGACAGCGGTCCTCCAACCATTCAGTTGTTCATGTATCAAACCTGATGGCCCACCATGTGCCAGGCACTGTGCTGGCCCTGAGGAGTCTGAGCACGGCCAGAGCAGAGAAAGGACTGGGGCAGGGTTCGAGGCCCAAGTCCGAAGGAACAACAGAAAAGCCAGGGCTGTGGTTTCTGGCCCACTGACTCTGACTCAGGCACGGAGAAGGGTGGTCTAGAAACAACCCCACTCCCAGTCAACAGAGCTCCCTTCCCTGAGGAGGGGCCAGACTGCACAACCTCACCAGGTGCAGCGGGAAGGGAGTATTTGTTTCTATGTGTGAGGCGCAGCAAAGATGCCCTAGGGGGCGGTGGGGCACAGGGCGACTGGAGCAAGACTCTGGCAAAGCAACTTCGTCTCTATGAGACTCAGTGTCCTCATTTACAAAATAAAGTTGCTGGAAATGATTTCTAAGGTCCTCCTGCACTTTTCAATATTATGGTTCTATTATTAATATCTGCTTCTGTACCCCCATTGCCCACCTCATTCTCAGGTCCCTGAGCTCAGCCTTTACTCTAGAACACCTGGATTCCAGCGGTCTCTGCGTCACCTCTGGAACCTTTCCTAGCCTGAATCAAGGCAGAGAGCCATTGTAAAATCTTTAGGTTATTGGGAACATTAAGTGCCTAGGGCAGGGCTTGGCATACAGTAGGTGCTCAATAAACGTTAGCTTTGTTCCCCTTCCCTCAGGCACCATTCCCTGCCCTCTTCCCCAAAGTTCCTGGAGGGCTCACTGGGACAGAAGCCCCAGCAGTTCTGTCTCTAGGACGGCCTTATCCTCTCCCCGAGCCGCAAGCGGGAGGGGAGCCACACTCCTCCAGAACATCCCTGGCTCCCGCCCCGGTCTTCACCTCCCTGACCCCTTCCCAGGCCCAGCACACCCGCAGTCTGCCCCCTGGCTGTGGGTTTGGGTTAATTACGCCTTCCCGAGCTTCCTGCGGGAGGTCGGGAGAGCGAGCCTTCCTCTCACCTGGGCCAGAACGCCTTTGTCTGAAGCCAAGAGTATCGAGCTTGGGTCCAAAGCAGGAAGGTCACTAAAGCTGGCTCACAGTAGCGGGGGCTGGGGGAAGGGGGGGCAAAAACGGAAAAAACAGCCCCTACTTCATCTCCTGGCTCTGAAGCGGAAACCAGCCCCAGCACTAAAGGCCTCGGAATCCTCAGCCCCGGAGAGGAGGTCTCTTTCCCTCTCTCTCTCCGGAGCGGACTTGGGGCTCTTCTCCGCGTCTGCCCCGGGGGCCAGGGCAGTCCCGGGGAGGGGGAGGCAGGGCCGGCGCTCGCAGGGGCGCCCTGAGGCGAGGACCCGGGAACTACACGTGGGCGGGCTGCACCGCCAGCACCGAGCTGGCCGCCGACGGGCGCGCGGGGGAGGGAACGCGAGTGTCCGGCGCGGGGGCGCGCGGCGTGTGCGCGTGCACTCGCCGACTAGTGCACGACGGGCCTTTTAAGGTATGTATCCCCCTGACTTTCTGTCTCTTCCTCCGTGCTTCCTTTAGGCCCTCTCGTCTCACCACAGCCAGCTCCCCAACTTTTTTGCGGGCCTCGGAGAGCGGGGCTCCCCTCGCGCCCCCTCCTCCTCTCAGATCTCCGCGTTCCGCCCGGCGAGGCTTTGGGCTGCCAGAAGGGGGCGCCCGCCCGCGGATCAGGCTGCGGCCCGGCCGGGACCTGGGGGGGTCCTTTCGATCTCAAACGTTTCCTACCTGGGACGCGCCATGGCATTTGATTACACTTATGGGGAATCATTTCTTCATTAGAATGAAATAAAATCAGGGCTGAAAGGAACTGCAAAGATGATGGAGTGCTTGTCCAGCCCCTAGATTTTGCCGATGGAGAAACTGAGCCCCGAGGAGTGGAGTGACTTACTACCAGGGCCGAGGTCAGATTTCAGGCCTCCTGACTCCCAAGCCAGCTCATTTACACTGCACCACCTTGATGTTCCCCCCTTCCCCAGCCCCCTTGCTCCCCCAAACAGAATGACTTTTCCTCATGCAGTTTCCAACTGGCTTCTTTCTGGAATTTTCTCCCCGACAGACTCTGCGCATGCCCACTTGAATGATATCGCGCACACACTTTCCAGCCTAGCCTAGCAAAACAACAGACCGGGCGGCCTCCGAATGCGGCACTTGTCCTGAGTCAAGGAGGGTCAGCTGCTCTCTCAACACTCCCTCTGCAGTCCATCTGCTCCTGGCCCAGACCCAGGGTCACAGGCAGGGCCAGGTGGCTGTGTGCCTTCCAGGGCGGCCCTGGCAGGCTCGGACATGACCCTGGGGCATTTCAGGTCCTGGGGGCAGGGGAAGCCAGGGTGCTCCTAACACTTACCTGTTGGTCTGAGACTATATTCAGCTGGGGGCTACCCCAAATTCCCTTTAAAATAAACCCAAATCTCAATCACAGGGCTGAGGCCAGGCTTGCCTCAGAGGGTAGTCACTAGCCCAATACTGGGTGCCTCGTCTGAGCAGAGAGGAGCTTTGTGCTGACCCAAATCTGGTCCTTTCCTAGTTGTATAATCTTGGGTAAATAATTTAACCACTCTGAACCCTCAGTCTCCCCATCTGAAAAATGGGAATAATGAGTCTTCCCTATATGATCACAGAGATTACGCAAGAGACACATAAAGAGTGGGGCTTCTCAAATTTTAATATACATCGAAATCATGCGGATTTCTTTAAAATGTAGATTCTGATTCAGTAGATCTAGGGTGGGGCCTGAGATTCTGCATTTCTAACTTCCCAGGTGAGGAAAGGTGATGCTGTTGGTCTGTGGACCACTTTGAGTAGCAAGGCTATAGAACACTCAGCACAGTCAGTATTCCGTAAGAGAAAGCCATGTTACCATTGTTGCTATTATCCTGATGGCATTAATGCTGGGAGTGCAGGAGCAGTCCCAAAGCCACCAGCTGCCTGTCCAGGTGGCTCCTGTACTTGTTACTCATCATCCCCCCATTCCTCCTTTCTCCTGGCTGTACTTGCAGGATTTGGGACTCCTACACACACACAGGAGGGTGCCCAGGCCACAGGAACGCTGCCTTCACGTCCTTTGTTTTTCCTGTATAGGAACTAATAAAAGGGGTTCCAGGGGAGATGGATGGGGCCCCCTGAAAAGAGGCCTGGAATGAAGGGAACTGAAAGGAGACCACGGCAAGTCACTTCCTCCCGGGGGTCTCGGTCTCCTTCCTCAGAACCAAGCAGCTGAGTATGCATTCTATGCGGCTGACTGCTGAACCGTGGCCGAACCTCCAGGAGGCCACTTCCCACCCCTCTAGGTAATACCTCACCAGCCTCAGCATCTGGGCAATTCACAGTGGCCCTCAGGGATCCCACCAGCTCTGATCCCTGCCAGCATCTCCACTGGCCAGAGAGCTGGGGCCACACAGGAGTGCTCCGAGGCCAGATTTTGGAGATCAAGGAGACTTGGAGCATTTTTTCCCGCCATGCTCAGCACTAAGATTCTGAAGACGATCCACCCAATGTGTGCAAGTCCCAACCCCAGGAGTCAGCTTTGAACCATCTCTCCCCTTTCTCCCTGTGTCCCTGGCATGGGTCCACCTCTCTCCATCTCTGCTGCCACCTCCCTTATCAGATTCACCCTCCCCCCTCGATGCCTACAGCATCCTCGAAACCACTCATGCTGCTTCCCAGCCCCTCTATTCCCTTCCAGGATCCAGATGGCAAAGCGATCTTTTCAAAACGCAATTCAGATCATGTCACCCCCTGAGAGGACAGCCTCAAAGGCCTACTCTGGCCTTGTCTGCTGTCCCCCTCATCTCACACTCCCTTGCTCTCTCCACTGTAGCCTGTGGTTTCCATTAGGTCCCTGGGTGCCCTGCTCCTTCCCACCTGGGAGCCGTTATACCCCCTCTCACTTCCTCCCTGCACCACCCTCACCAGGTGAACCCCAGCGCATCCTTCAGCTTAGGTATAACCACCCAGGCCTGCTGGAGTTTCCTGTTACAGCTCCTCATCGCACCATCTCCGTATATAATCACACACTTTTAAGTGTGGATTTCTCATTAATGTCTGTCTCTCCAGCTGACTGTGAGGTCCCTGAGGGCGAGAACCAGGTTTTTGTTCATGATGGTTTCCCCAGATCCTGGCACCCACCACATGGGTGTTTAATAAACACCTGTTGACAGATTGAAGAAGGAGCTCCTGAGAACAAATGGAAATAGAGAGAGGGAAATCCCAAACCGAAAGCAAACTCTCCAGGGTTAAGAGCAGCCTTGGAGCTGTGGCTCCATCCTGCCAGGCAGGAGTGACTGCCCTGGCCCTGGGCAGCATCTGGGCGCCAGTCGTGGTGGGGTCCCAGGAACCTGGGAGTCAGCCGACACCTGCCGTAGGGAGCAACACGTTTGGTGGGAGAGGCTGACAGGTTCCCAGGTTCTGCTCTCACACACTTGGCCTTTTTAATAGGAGCATGGCATCGTCTCCCTTTCCTCCTCTGTTTCACTCCACTCAGGCCCCCTGAACACTCCCTCCGAGTGTCAGGACATCCCAGGGGGTGCTCACGTGAGGCTAGGAGCCCTGGATGGCTCAGGGCCAGCTGGCCCCAAGCCCCGTTCCAGAACAGCAGGGGACAGTGGCAGGGCACACCAACTCTGAAGCCAGAGATGAGGATGGAATGAGAGCTGGCTCTGCCACGTACAGCCTTGGGGTCCTTGAGTAAATCACTTCATCTTGTCAAGCCTCAATTTTTTTCCACCTTAAAATGGGAATAATAATACCTCTTGAAGACTATTTAGAGGAGTAAATAAAGCAACAAATGCAGAGTACCTCAGAAAGTGCTTTGCACATAGTGGGAGCATCATAAATAGTAGCTGAATAATAAATGAAGGAAAGATTTGTTTAATAAATTTGGAAATCTCTTTTCTGGAGATGTTCTCTATCCTGCAGGAATATTAGGTTTGGATGCATGCAAAATGAGTTATGCCAATTAATCGATTTACTCATTCCATCATACACACTTGGAAGGAAGACTTTCTGAAATTAAAATGCACATATGCAAAACAACCTGGCAGGGCCCTGGGAGGATCAAATGTGATAATGTATGAGAAAGCGCTCTGTAAACTGTGAAGCCCTGTACAAATGCTAGTTGTCCTCATTACTAACATGTTTACAGCTTGGTTGGCCCTGAAATCTCTGGCTTAACCTGAAAGAGAAAAATGGGCAACTTTCCAGGACTCTAGGACCAGGCCAAAACGTCCCTAGAGGAAGAGGCCTGGGCTGGGCAGTGTACCAGCCACCGGCCACTCTCCCCGCTCCTCCCCCGCCACCTCTGTCACAACCAAATTTTCAGTCAAATCAACTAAATAAACTATGGTGGGCTCAGGACACCGGCACTGAGGAAGGCTAACTGGGCTTTTAATGCCCATATAGGCATCTGCTGCCCTCGAGTGCCCAGGCCATGGGCTACAAACACAGCGATGCCTGAGAGCCATGGGTCTTGTGGGAGAGTAAGCAGGCCAGGTGGGGGCTGAGGGAAACCGAGGCACACAACCAACCTATGGGGGTGGCGGGGGTAGGGGGGACCACCATCACCCTAGTCCAGCAACCGTTGGCATCTGCAAACCCACTGTTGCCAGATCTAGCTTTTTTTTCCCATGAGAAGCCAGAACTCCAGATTTTTATGTGAAATTTCTTGATTTTTAAATACTGGCAACTAATTTTTTAAAATGTTTAAAACACTACGTGGGCCAAATTAAAGCATGTGTGCAGGCTGCATCCAGCCAGTGGCCTCCAGGGCACAGCCTTGGCAAGTAGACCTTCAGCTACCATGCCCATCCCCACCCTCCTGGGACCTGCTGGGCCTCACATCTCTGGCCCTCAGAGGAATCCCAGCGACCCTGAAGAGGCTGCCCCTTGTGCCAGGGACTCACCCTCTTCTGCGGAGGCTCCTCGGCCATCCTTGGGGATGCAGCAGCCATTCTCCACAGCTCTGGAGGCTTCGATCGGGGTCTCAGCTGTACCCTCTCCCTCTGCCGGGGCCCCGCCCTTCTGCCCCCCAGCGGGGCTCCCCTCCTCTGGCTGGGGCTCACTCCGCTTCTCCAAGTCCCCGTTGGGTAACAGCTCTGAGGAGCCTGAGTCCTGGGCCATGGATGGGGACTTGGAGGTCACCGCGGGATCCTTCGGCGTGTCACTGCTTTCCACCTGGAAAGATGAAGAAAGATACATGAGGGGAGGATTAGACCAGTGGTCTTAGCCTCTTTTGGGTCACTGACCCATCTGAGCGTCTGGTGAAAGTTATGCTCCCGCTGTTTAGAAAATTGTGTTCATATAAACGTTCACGCAAGCAAATACACTCACAGTTTTGCTCTCAGTTTCAAGGGGTTCATGGGCCTGACCCCCTGAAATCAAGGGGTCTATGGACTCCAGCTTAAGAAACAGAAGAAGAATCTGAGCAGGTATGCCAACGTGGTTCCACTGCCCAAGCTGCACCCCACCCGGTCCCACCCCCTCACTGAGGTGATGTATGCTTTCCAAGCCTTCTCTGCAGCCCCTACGGAAAACAAAGGCTCCTCACACTATCCCTACTTCAAATCAGGACCCCTCCTCAGCAGACTCTAGTAACCGCAGGCTGATCTGACTGCCATGTCAGAGCCCTCCCAGCTTTCCTCTTGGTCTCTCAAGGCCCAGACCCAAACAGCCACTAGCTGCCTGGCCGAGTGGAGTGTGAAGGTCAAAGGGGGCCTCCCCAAAACAGCATTCCTCTGCGCCCCAAGCCTAGCACAGTTCTTTCCCTCAGCTTTGGCCCCCACAGGTTCTCCCAGGCACACAGACCCCAGGAGAGCCACGGCCCCTGCAGGCCGTCTGCAGCGAGCCCTCCCTAGCACATGGTCCCTGGTCTCCCTCCAAAAGGCAATGTACTGCTTTGTCCCCAGGAGTCTAAGAACTGATCTTCTACAAGAATCACATCAAGAATGATCACAACTGTCCTTCATAAGTGTCACTGCACAGTGAGTAAAGCTCCTTCTCACCCGTTACCCCTTTAGAGCCGCCTGACCTCCCCGGGGAGGATATCAGAGAATTTTGTGATTTACTCGAGGTCACACGCTTTAAGGACACAGCAAGCAAACGAGAGCCTGGTGAGCAGTTTGTCCTGGCCATCTGGGGGCAAGCAGACCAGGGCATCTCGCTCAGAAGGAATGGAGGTGTCCACTTGGGGCAGAAGAGGTAAGTGTCCCCCCACGCCCACGGGTACCAGGCCACCCTCAGCAACCCTGCCCGCCGGCTCCGTCTGCAGAATGCCTGCCCCAGGAAAGAGCGGGGGGGTATCAGCTCAGCAAACATGCTGCTGGCCTGTGATCTCAGGTAAGGCACTGCTCAAGAGGGCGCCTCAGTTTCCCCACCTGTAAGGCGAGATGACTAGGCTAGGCCAATGGAAGGGTCTTCCTTCTAAAGTCTTTTTTTTCCTATTTATAAGAGTCAGACATATATATTATAAAAATTCAAACCACACAAAAATGAGCAGTGTTAAAAAGTTAAAGCTCCTATGTCAATTCCCTGCCTCCAGAATCACTCCCCACAGGTAAACCATTATTAACAGTTTGGCGAGTATCTTTTCTAGACTTATTTTCTATGCATCAAAAATCATGTGTAAGTTACATGTTTATACATATGTATTCACACACACAGCCAGATCCAGAATTTTTTTTCTAATAGGGTATCATACTCCTCATACTGTTCTGTGACATGCTTTTTCACTCAACAAGCATAGTGGGCATCTCTCCATACCAGTGCATATGGATCTGGCTCATTCCATTTCCCAGCTGCTCAAGTCGATGGAACGGATGCTCCATCATTTACCCACCAGCTCCCTATGGGGGGCCTTTGGGCTGATTTGCTTTTTGCTGCAATGACCCCCTTGCACTTAGAGCTCTGTGCACCTGTGGATTTCTGTAGGCTGGAGTCCTAGAAGTAGACTGGCTGGCATAAAGGCCTGCCCTTGTAAGTGTGTGTAGATCTGGCCAAATTCCCTCCAAATTGTTGTACAACTCAAGTGCACCCCAAAAGGCTGAGAGAGCACTAGTTTCCCCAGGCCCTCCCTGCACAGCCCCACAATCTCCAACCAAGACTCTTCCGCTCCCAGGGTCTCTGACCTCAACTCGGATTTGGTGAGGAACCCCCAGAGGAGGCAGATAGGGAGGAGGGCCTTGGGAAAACAAAAAACAAAGAACAAAACCAGAGTCCTCCCTGGATGAGGCTCCAGAGCAAGCAGAGGAACTCCAGGGGCCCTGCCAAGCTGTTCTCCTGGCTGCGTGGGGTGGCGTGGGGCAGGCCTGCTTCCAGGAAGAGAATCTCCCATGGAAAGCTGCAAATGTGGGCAAGTCCTCAGCAGTTAGGGGGTGGAGGGGCTGCAGCGAGAGGAAGAGGAGGCATCTGGCAGAAGCAAGAAGTCCTCCACTAGGCTTCGGTGCTGAGGGCCGAAGCCAGCAGAGTCAAGGGGCCAAATGCAGGAACACAAGTGAGCGAGGAGGCCCTGTCTCTCTGCTCAGCCTCCACGCCCGCGTGTTGGGACCTACGTACTCTGTCCAGGACTCAGATGATCTTTCCCGCCTCCCTGTTCAAGCCAATGGGGCTCCCTGGCCTAGAATGCCCCTCCCTGGTGTAAATCCCCTCGCCCCTCAAAGTTCAGTCACGTGTGTGAGAAAGTGAGACGGCACAGGCAGCCTGGAGAGTGGGGCACACCCGGGCCCCATAGCCACCACAGAGCCCCAAACATGGCACTCCCAGGAAGGTGGGTGTGGGGGTCCTGTTGACCACCTCATGCTGAGAAGTTTAGGTCAGAACCAATCTCTTACCATGACTGTGTCCTCCTTTCCTCTAGCCACTTGCTGCCCCACAGATACTTCAAGTTGGGGCAGGCTCCCAGCCCCACAACGCTGTTCGAGACAGCTCTGCTGTCACTCACTTCCTGCCCGGGGACCACACAGCCTCCTCTCACCGTGGGACGCACTTCCTGTTGACTGCCAGTTCCATAGCATAGAGAGCCAGGAGTACCTGCTCTGAGACCCAACACAGCCCCAGGGTCCCGACCCACACTGATCAGCACCCCTCCAGGCCTGCCCTGGAGGACCCCAGTCTGCAGCCGCGTGAGACACGCCATCCTTCCAGAGGTGGGCGGATGAGCGGGGCAGGGAGCACTCTGCACAGCTCCAGCCCTGGGGTTAGCTCAGCTCAGCTCAGCGGGCTGAAATCTCCCTGATCCCGCCAATTCTCACCCTCCTCTCTTCCCGACCAGGCTGTCCTTTCTTGCCTGCCTGCTCTGGTTCTAGATGAGCCTGAGTCAACCAGAGCTCTGGGATTAGGGGAGTTGCTGACCCCTGCTATGGTCAATCCTGGATCCATCTTGCCCATCAAGAGCCCCCCCCACTGAGTTAGTAGTGGGCACTCGCTGGCCCTCTCTCTGGGGCCCCGGGTACCTGGGGAGATCAAATCTCCACCTACAAGAAACCGCTGAGGTGGGCTGGCCCGGTGGCTTAGCGGTTAAGTGCGCGCGCTCCACTGCTGGCGGCCCGGGTTCGGATCCCGGGCGCGCACCGACGCACCGCTTCTCCGGCCATGCTGAGGCCACGTCCCACATACAGCAACTAGAAGGATCTGTAACTATGACGTACAACTATCTACTGGGGCTTTGGGGGAAAAAATAAATAAAGAAATAAAATTATAAAAAAAAAAGAAACCGCTGAGGGAGGGCCACAGGCAAAGAGCCTGAAGCGACACTCCAGGTCCCTGGGGAAGAGCTGGGTGCTCCCTGAAAGGGGCCCCCAGGTGAGAAGAACAGCATAACCCACCCCTGGAAGCCACTGGGAGAGGCTACTCCAGCCAGGCCTGCACCCTTCTGCCCCCACCTCCACGCCTTCAGCTCAGCGCTCTCCTCTCCTCTCTCCTGCCACCATTAGCTTGTCGCCTCCTGGAGGCAGGGACTTTGCTTTACTGCGTTGGACTCGGCCTGGAGGAAGGCACCTGGCAGGTGCTCAATATTCACAATTCATTCCTAATGCCAAAGACTAGGCCAAGAGTGAGAACATCCTGCTCATGTGCTTAGAGGGAGTTGCAACTTTGTTGCATGTCAGATGTAACTGTTAAAAATTCTGTTTTTGTTTGCTTTTATTTTTACAGTTGCCTTGAAAGGAGACAGGACACACCCTGAGACACTCATTTTTCCCATGGGGCGGGGGGGGGTAGCAGCAGAAGCCCCTGGCCCTTTTAGAAGGCACCCCCAGCAGCAGTAGGTGACAATTTCCGCTTCCTCTGCTTCTCACCCCTGGGGCTGGGGGGAGGGGGAGAGGCAGGAGAGGTGGCAGAATGGGAATGGCAGCTGAGCACCCCTCACACCTCCTCCCTTGGTTGGGGGCAACAGACTTGAGTAAAGCTTGATCCTGTCCCCCACTGTGTGCTCCCCAGGCCCAGTATGCCTCATTCTGGCTCTTCAGACCCTGCCCACCACCTCCTGGGGGCCCTCAGATTTTCCTGACCTTTGCCTTCCTTCCAGGCAAGGCCCCTCCACCCTGGGACAACAGCCTCCTGCTCCTCTGTTGCCCATCACCCCCTCCTCAGGCCTCTCCTGTGAGCAGCTTATTCCAAGCGGGTGAAGGCAGCGGTTCTCAACTGGGGGCAGTTTTGCCCCCCAGAGGACTTTTGACAATGTGTCTGAGACATTTTTGATTGTCACATTGGGGTGGGGGGACTGCTGGCTTCTAGTAGGTAGGGGCCAGGGATGCTGCTAAACGCCCTACAGAATACAAGACAGTGCCCACAACAAAGAATTATTTGGCCCAAAATGTCAATAGAGCTGTTCTTGAAAAACCCTGGGCTGAGGGTAGGGGCACTGACCAGGGACTGCCTTTTCTGAGAACCATTTTTTTAAAAACTTAAAAAAATATTTTGTGGTAAAACATACATAACATAAAATTTACCATTTTAACCATTTTCACGTGTACAGTTCAGTGGCATTAAGTACATTCACATTGCTGTACAACCATCACCACCATCCATCTTCAGAACTTTCTCATCATCCCAAACTGAAACCGTCCCCATTAACCAAAAACTCCTCAGCCCTCCGGCCCCCAGACCCTGGTGACCACTGGGCTACTTTCTGTCTAAGGACCATTTTAAAGCTGCCTGCCTGTCTGTCTGTCTGACTCTCT